TAAAAGAAGGCTTAGATCCGAATGGACGCTACAGTCAGCTACTGAATAAGAACCTCGAGTCTCGTTATCTGAAGCTTCCTCAATTTTCGGCGGTTTGTAAGGGTTACTTATATGTTCTCCTAAACAGCATATGACGATAGGAAGTGCCCGCAATACTCTGGTCTTTGGAAGGAATTCCTGCGAAATTGGGGTTAGGTTTTAGTTTACGGTTAACTTTAGGGCTATTTTTCAGTTTAAAGCCAAGGTTAAGGCAACGGTTAGGACACAGGACTATCTATGCTTGTATTTATACACGAGGCCACCTTTATTAGTTAGACATGACGTTCTTCTTACTGTGCCCACTGTTATGGCACCATATAAGTTGTCCTTATCGATTGGTTGCTCAGCTATTTTGGCTTATATACTTCATGAAAGTTTCGAAAATTGTAACAAACGGGCCAGAAGGTTAAGGTGACCCCCTTCTGATGTATTCATTGTTGTAAGCCCGTCCTGTGGCAGTCTCCCACGGCTGTTCGTACAGTCGGACCTGAGTTAGTCGCCTCAAGAGGAAACACTTTCAAACATTTCGCTGTGTGTCGGTAATGATATTGAAGTAGACTGACGATTACGCTCACAGGCGGCCTCGCTCTGTACCGAACCTCCGTGGTTTTGTGATCTCCCTCAGTCGAAACGAAGACCGCCTAAGACGCCTTTGCGGAAGAAAATGCATTGCCCTCGTTCTTAATTTTCACAGCACGCGTCAGTTGGTGCTTCTACTGAACACATCCCCAGATTATCTCGCTCACTGTACTGATGCTTCTAGTCCCAGGTAGCTCGGTATTTTTAATATTTCAGGCATGTGTTGTATGCAGTCTTGACGTCAGATCGCCCATTTGAGTTTGATAGAGTGTGGACACATTTTTTTCTATTAACCACTTTCAGTAGTCACAGTACCGCCAATAAATTCGCGTTCGGGTTTTAGCGAGAACCGTTATCTGTCTTGGTCTCCATGTAGTCATGGCCAACTGAGGAGGTGGAGTATCGTTGCAACTCCAATTTCTTGCTGCTTCAACCGTTGGACCGTCATGTGTAAGGATTTTGTTGATGGTGCCTGCTTACTCTTAACCTAAAAGCCATCCCGTTTATTGGGCTTTTGAGACAAATTTCCTATGGCATTTGGGATCATCGTATCTACGATCTGCCGTTCGGCTTACCTGACTTTGGGGCCACAAATTTTGTTAAATTTAAACTGCATTCATTACCTGCGGAGGGCCTAGAAATTATATTTTCATGAATTTGTCCTCGCTTGCAATTATTGTGCTATTCCTGCCTTGTCAACTCTAACAACAGTTAGAGGCGGTGGAACTCAAATTGAGTATCTTCTTCTGTGACACGCAAACCTGCCGAGTATAGCCAAGCTACTTTTTGGCACGGTGCCAACAGCGTGGCCGGCGAACACCCCTCGGTCAAAACAACAGATGCCAGGACTGCATAGCAGTTCTGGGACGTAGCCACACCTAAATACTCCCTCCCCTTTCGTGGTTTTACGCAACCCGGTCACCGGAGTGGGTGCCGA